CAACCAAGAGTCTGCGGGAAGTCTTAAACAAAATTACGGCTCGTTATTGGTGCTGAGCACCATGTGCAGAACTCAATCCTTCACCTTGGGGTTAGTTCGCCCATCAAACAGCGATTATTCAGATCGCTTCACACCGGCCCCCTGCCCAAGACAAGGGGAACGGGTCGCAGACTTGTTGTGTGGGGTAAATTTCGTTGGACTTGAGCACAAGTGCAACACGTAGGCCCCGAAAGGTTACCCGAAAACCCGAATGCCTCGTAGATGTGTTTGCAAGCCCCGACAGCAATGTAGCGTGGCTTGCAATCTAGTGTTGGGCTACGGCCCTGCCTTTTGTGCTGAACTAGGCGCACCATCAATTTTGAGCTCCCAGCTTCTCCGGAAAACAGCGGCTGCCGCGCGAGAATACCGTCAGTGCGATGTAGCGTAACGTAGTGTAGCGAAGCTGCGCATGCCTTTCTCAGCGGCATCCCAGAGAGTGCTTGGGCTCCCCGTGGGACGGCCTCCCCGGGCCCAAGGTGCCCAGGCTTCTTCCGCAGGTCCCCGTCGAGGAAAAAGGCGTCTGCATAGAGCACCGGGAAGGGGCCCTGGACACGCCCCGGCCAAGGCACCAGGCGCGGGCGCGACGAAGCCACCAGGCGCCGCAGCGCCAGTAGGGCGGACCGAAGACCCACCGACAGTGTGTCATCAGAGTTCGCGGCCGTGTCCGCCGCCCTGCCACCTGTCCCCGCCTCCACCCGCGATGGGTGCCTCAGACGTGACCTACCTAAACGGGAGAGTCCACCTACGCGTGAGGTAATCTAGTTTGGGCCGCCTGCACCAACTTTAAGCCCCCAAGCTGTCTCGAAGCTTCTCCAAAAAACATGTGTTTTTGATCCGGCTCCCTGCCTGGTGTCCCTCAGCCCCTTCTTCACCCGCAAACAGCCACAGGGATCGAGCCCGGCTGGGCGGCCACGACCCGAGGATGGGATCGTCACCGCGGTAGAAAACTGCCAATAGTCACTGGGGGTGGCCCTTCTGGTGTCACATTGCCCCGGACTCTTGCAAATTTTCGACGCAGGGCAACTTCGCATCTCAAACATGGCGAAGGTAGTTGACATAGTCGTGATTTGCATGACTGTTTCTTGTTTTTGCGGGGGAAGGTTGCGGACCCGGCATACCCGACATGAAATCTGATCACATTCTGGTATTAGACCAGACTTGTCCCAACAGACGCAAGGTTCTTTAAAGGCTAACGCATTCCCAGGTATACCCCAGCCAGAAAGCACCCTAGCTTCTCTGATATGTCTCTTAGTATCAGACTTTTTGTCATTGCATACCCAAGCAGTCTTTGTATACCCAAAAGAGCTTCACAGCTCAAGCTTCCCATTATCATTCCTTGACTAACTAGTCGGAATGATTACCCAAAGCTGATCCATCGTGTTCAAAGCCGAATTCAGCTGTATTGTTACAGCGGCCCAAAGCATACCCAAGCACATCCGAAGCTGATCCAATTCGCCACCCAACAAGCACCCAACGTTGCGTCGTCGTCGTCTTGATAGTTTCTTGAAGTTTCCAAAGGTTTTTACGTCGATTGCGTGGTTTTCACATCACCGTCTCGTACTTATTGCGCCTGTCTTCATTTGAAAGTTCAGGTTTTTTCTTCTTTGGACAGGGATTGTTTTCATCCATGATACATAACGTCCGTGACTTGAACGTGCTCAGATCAAGTCTGGAGCATTGGACAAAGAAAATATATCAGACTCAAGGCCTTCAAATAGTGAAATCGTGTACTGCTTCTAGTTTCTAATTGCAGTGATTCTTTGCACAGGTTTCACAGGCTCATCTAATTACAATCGTTCAATTCTGTTCAAGTTTGAAGTTGAAGAGAATAGGAAGTGGACCATGAGCAGACAGAGAAGGGAAGATGCCGGTCTCAAGATCAATACTGGCGCTTGAAGCTCAAAGAGATGCTGCTGGTGCGACCGAAAACGATGCCGATCTGAAGATCAAAGCTGGCAACTCCAACAGATGCCGGTAGCTGGACGCTCCCCGGAAGCACCCGCCATTTCGTGAAAATACGCAAAAAAAGGAACTAACTTGCTAGATTTCATTCGTGTGTCCATTCCCATGTCGTTCAGTAAGTAATGCACCGTGATCTAATTCGTTTCGCCACCCAGAGGATACCTTGCATCCGTCTTTGCTCGCGTCGTTTCATTCTGCTCTCACTTCAGTTCAATGTTCAAGAGACGACGACGAAAGTAAGTTAAAGGGGCAAGACAGCCTTGAGGTCCAAGCTTACATGCAACAGCTTTTGTATTACAGCTACAGCTGTTTGCTGTCTGAAGAGTTCCAAAGGTTTCACAGGCCTCATAATCTTTGTTAGATAACTACATAATTGACGGCGACGAAAGACGACAAAGATTATCCGAAGCATACCCAAAGCCATGCTGAGAAGTATGGTTACCCAAAGCTGATCCAAGTTTGCTGCTTTCACGCAGGGAAAACGCCGTTCGCACCTAAGACGTGCTGTTGCTTGCTGTGTTCATCTTCACCCCGTTCTGATCGTGATTTTCCAAGCATAATGTAGGTTGTTTCGCCACCCAAAGGACACCCTGCATCCGTGCTTGTTCGTTTCGTTTCATTCTGTTTCATCTTCAGATTAAGTTACGGCGACGGCAACCGGACGACAAAAAGCTGGTTATAACTTCTTGTCTAGTTACTTGGTTGCTCTGTTCACAACCGGTTTCAACCGGGGCTGTGTGTGTGTGCGGAAATCCCGTATCTAAGCACTTTGGGTCGTACAGATGGTCTTCTTTCAAAGACAATGATGTACTGTCGTACACCTTTTTGGATATCTGCAAAAGAAAAGCAGGGGGCCGCAGGCCTACCATCGGAGCTGCGGCCAACGAAGACCTCCCATGGTAGGTGTGAAAACGTTCCTGCTGAGCACATGATCTGAACGAGTGATAACATTGGTGGGACTTGAGATTTGAGACTCACAGAAAGTTTGGACGTCTTGTATTGCATCTAGATATGATCATCTTGATCTTCCAAGTCACAAGGTTTCCAAAGGCTCCATTAGTCAGTATCAATGTAGCACTTGAGAAAAGGAGAAATGAGAAGGCAAGATAAAACCGGCATTGACCGGATTTGCAAGTGTGTGTCTGTGTGTGTCTGTGTGTGTGTGTGTCTCTGTGTCACTGTGTGTGTCTGTGTGTGTCTGTGTGTGTGTGTGTGTCTGTGTGTGTGTGCACTTCTCTAGTACATGAGATAAGAGGTTCAAAACGTTTTGCTTACCTTCGTCTGCGGGGGCGTGCAGCGACTTTGGCGTACTGCACGCAACGAAGCTACTGCCAAAGGTGGGAAGAGATCGAGGACGCTTGATCCTGTACCTGCAACAAAGTTTTTGACACCGTATTCTTACAAGCTGTACATGGTGCCATCTTGTGATATCGTCGCTGTACAAACATAGTCATGGATTTTGCAGCCAGACCGCAACAGCCTCAGATTTGCAGAGCTTCAGTTGACATGTACGGTTGCAGCAATCTGTCTTGTGCTAAAGGCTCTCAACACAGCACAGCACACAGGTTCAGCAGAGCGCATCTAGAGTAACTAGCACTTTGTACGGGATCCATCCGTGAGTGCCGGCAACACCACATCACTCTGTCTGTCTGTCTGTCTGTCTGCTTGTCTGTCTGTCTGTCTGTCTGTCTGTCTCTGTCTTGGTCCATGTATGTATGTATGTATGTATGTATGTATGTATGTATGTGCTTGTGTGTATGTCTACACCGGG